ATGGAAAGGGTATATTGCTGTATTTCAAGAATGGAAAAATTTTTGGATACAAATTTGAATCAGAGTGATACGAAAGTAGTTTATAATACATATACAATGACAGTGATACAGGAATAACTGTCACATACGAGGATTGTGAACTTTTTAAATTGATACATGTATAGATACCATTGAAGTATTTATAAGGTCACCATGTTTGAAATAAATTAATAATTAAAGGCCGTGCGCTGACCAAATTTTAAACAATTTATGTTTTAAATTTAAGATTAAAGTATAAACAGATAATTTTGGGACACAGTGATGTTAGAGCTATAATTTCTTCAGTAGAATAATAATAATAATAGTCGCAATAAGATAATATAATTATAATAATGATAATCAAATTAATAGAAACAAACAACTTTGGATCACAAAATCACAAAGCCAATTGACACACGCCTTTTTATCTGGAACACAATGTTTATAGAAATCCAACAATGTCATGTTGTTCTCTTCTTCATACAAAGACAATGTATTTTATACGTACAGACACCTTTTTTAACAAAAACTGTTTTCAATTATCTTGTATTAGAAATGAATATTAACTATAATAATAATAATAATAATAATAATAATAATAATAATAATAATAATAATACATATGAGTTCATCTATTTGGAAATAGTTCATCACATATATTTTTTACACTTATTTGAAGAAAATGGGCATAAAATAGTATAAACGTTTATATTCGTTAGTGCAAAAGTGAACAATACAACAATTGTAAGATATTTTATAAGGAAGAAAAACCTTCAATTAGAAAATATTTTTTGACACTTCTATAAATAAATGTTTCTCATACATTTATCAATCCAGTGAAGGAATCATATTTTATACCATCGAATGTGCCACTGCTTCTGTTAACATATAAAGAAGTTGAAAGAATGACGTGTTTACATACCCTTTTGTACTTCAAAGAAATACATTTGTCAAATGATGTTAAATGATAAGTTTTTAATTTGCAGTAACTCCAGAAAATTTTCTCGAATTATTAACCTACACGTATTCATTATTTGACGTTAATGTATAATTATCTTAACACCTTACTGTCTAGACATACGCGAACGACAGGTTTATTAATTGTTGTACATAACCAAAATATTCTGTTTTCTAATTTGTAAAGTATTTTTAGATTCTTTAATTCTTATGATCATCACGTCCCTTAAGTCTTTCCCCTATTACTAACATCCCCTTCGATACAGTTCATTCATTTAATTATTTATTTACTTTATCCGATTCTCTTAATGCCCTCTTTGCTGGTGGTTCCTCAATCTGAAAATTTATATTTATAGTATCCACAGAACTAATATTATAATTCTACTTGCTTACCTCGTCCTCTAAACCAGGTAATTGAATTCTAGTTTCTGATGCTTCTGCTGGCTGTAAAAAGATTTCATATCAAATTTATGATATTATTCGTTAAATGTGTACCAAACATTTGATTTTGGATGATAAATATTTTACGTAGCTATTCCAAGAACTAGCTATATTATTAATTTTAACTTTATCTCTTAAAATATTTATCACTCATAGCCGAACGTTTTATATAATAACATATAAAGTAATATAAGATATTTTCCAACGAAATTCTGAACCATTTTACCTGTGCATCAATACATTCCACTTCTCCAATTTGCAGCTTGAAATCATATTTCACATATTCAGAAATGTTTAATGCTACAGCTTGCTAATTATTTATTACTTGTAAAGACTGATCCATTCTACTTTTACAAATTTCGTAAAAATCGAAAATGTATATATCATCTTACCCTTGCATCAGTTTCATTTGGCCCAATGCCCACTTCTTTTTGTTGTTTGGATTTAGTCCTGCGTTGTGGCCTTTCGCTGACAGAATGAACACTGTGAAGCGATCCTTTTCCTTTGGGACTGGACATGTTAATTTGCATTTCAGCAGGTAAATAATTCCTGTTGTTTGCCAACAGTTCATCTACACGCTTGAAGTACATAGTAGGAATCCGGGTCTCGCTTGGGAATTCTTTTAAATCGAAATTTGTTGTCTTAGTAAATATTACGTTCATAGCTAAGTCACAAACAGCCCATAATTTCTGCACACAAGAAAATGATATTAGTATTTTATAAATAATGTATGTATAATAAAATGATATTTGAAATAATTACATAGTTTATGTTGTTATCTTCTGGTTTCAAAGCATCTTTGTGACTTTTCATTCGCTCTATGAGATTTTTATAAAAACCATAGCAATAATATTCATTCTTTGTTATTAACGGTTCTAATATAAACCATAAACATTGCTGTATGACTTTCAATTGGGAGACCATTAAGTGATTCGTGAATTCAGGATCGTGTGCAAGAATTGGGACAGCGAATACTAGCATGTAATCCGGAAGAATATGAGGCAATTGACCTGAAATTATAATGTAACGAAGTTATTAACATCGTTTTGTTCTGTGTAGCACTGAATTGTAGAAGAAACACAATCTTAAACAATATTTCGATAATGCCTTACTATTTAGTTTCTTACCCATGGCCCGTTCTACGGTACCCAGTGATAATGTTTTGACATAATCCCTCCTCTTATTTATATCAGTTTGCATATAAGTTTTTAATACACCCTTTAGTCTCTTGTCTTGTTCCTTTCCAGCGAGAGCATAATAGCCCATGAAATCTAGTGGCAAGCACTTGTTTGGAATTCCCCTCCCAAGCCCTTTATGCAATTTACTACCAAAAGCCTCTCTCACTTGTGGAACTTCATCCTATGAATCAATTCGAGTAATTTAAGTGCAAGTTATGTTTTCACAAGTATCTATTAATATAATATTATATATTGTAATTTAACTAATAACATACCACCATGAGTTGTGACAGATTATAGAACTGTTCTGCTGTGAACTGATCACCAACACCTTTTTGTTCGCATATTTTCAACATCGAACAACCAGCTTGCAATCGTAACCAACTCATTTCTGCTTTACTTAAACGACCTTGTTGTATAAGGTCACCTTTGTTTACTACAAATGCATGCAGCATTCTAAATGTTTTTTGTGCAGAGAGAATATCAGTCTTCAATCCTAATAACCAGCGTGCCATACATTTTAATCCTTCTAATCTACAACGCGTTTCCTCAGGTAGTTGGTCTTCTCTGCACCAGTCTCCTTCGATGGTGTCTGAAGTCTGTTCACTGTTTTCTTTTACTAACAGCTCTTTGACTATCTGCAAATGCATATATTAAATGTAAGTACACTTTTTTAACTGCAATTTATAGGGATTAATTAAATAGATAAAATAGTAAAGTTTACCTTTCTAGACACCATGTTTTTTATGTGTACTTGATATTTCTCTGGTAAATTATAAGCTATGTGACCTAACGTGACTATTGATGTTCGATAATATTCTGAAGTTGGTGTAAGTGTATTTTTAATTCTCTCAATAATTTCGGGGAATATGGTATCATGAATATTGGTCATGTTGACGAACAAACATCTAACCGCTTGTTTCGCTTGTTTTGATGTTCCCGTTTCAGCAAAATTTTTACAAATTGGAACCATAAGGTTCATAATGTCTGGTGCAACATCGCACAAAGGTTTATATTTCCCTAAAAATGTAAAAATTGAAAGAACCAATGGCGCAACCATTTCATCCTCCAATTCCAAAAGATGAACAAGTTGCATCAAAATATCATTGTGAAGAAAATGTGGCCCAAATACGAATGAAAGCATCTGAAAATAAAAAATAAGCACATACAAAGAATAATTAAAAAAATGTTATGTCTGTTAATTCAGGATTCATTTATTGCCAACATACCACAAGTAATCTTAGACCTTTCTCTCCTGCATTATTTGGGTTAAGTCCAACTTCTTCTATCACATTTCCTCCTTTTAAACAATCTAGTACGTATCCAATTAAAACCTGTGGAATTATAATTAGATGTAAGGTGTTCATAGCACAATTAATTACAGTAAATGCATAAATTACCCTAATAGCTTCCTCATCGATCATGACAGAACTGACTCTTTCCAACAGCATCTTTATAGTGTTGTAATACAAATTGATCATTACCGGTTGACCCAATTTTTTAAGAACCATACTTATTGTATCTGCACATTCCTTGCATGATACATTTGGTTGAACTATCGTTTCCATTCCTTGTAATAATGATAGATCTTTCCTCATGTGAGCACTAAATTTTTGTAAAAATTCTTGAACTTTCATAGGATCTGGTAAAAAGCGAGATATTTGATGAACTTTAGTCACTAGTTCACCCACTGCATCTGGTTTCTTCACTATTTCTAACCATTCAACCACTGCCCTCCGCACACTAGTGGAAGTAGAAATACAAAGATGATTCACATGAAATGATATACATATTTACATTAGAGTATAATGTCAATGTGGCGTATACTCACGCGAGTTGATGTTTTTGTAGTTCAACAAACGCTTTGGATGCATGATCATCGATTGTACCTAGTAAATGATACAACTTCTTCATTCTCTCATCAGCTGGCAACTGGTAAGGTACTAAACAGGTGTTCAGTAACCTTTCTACCAATAATCTATCTTCCATGCCTGCCATATAATAACCATGTAATATTTTATCTTTAATCCAAGTAACAGCTTTCTTTGTAGCTTGTGGTACATCTGCATCATTTAAGTGCTTTTTATATATCATTGCCAATCCGGCCATTGCTTCTTTTCGAATTTTAAACTAAGAATTAAAGAAATGATTAGGATACGCAGACGAAATCATATTTCTTTTATTAGTTAAGAAATTATTCGCACGAGAACATACCTTTTTATCTAAAGTTCTTTCTTTAACAAATTCAAGTAAATCTTCACTGTCCGATACCACTTCGAAATCTCTTCTGGCAGTGGTTACTATAGCCATAACAACTTCGTATCGGACACTTTCGTCTGCGTCGTGTTGTCTTAATTTTAATGTATCAGTAATATCCTTTCTTAATTCAGGATGGTTTAGTAAAAAATGCATTGAATACTGTACACATTTTATACGAATTGATACACTGATGTCATTAAACCTTCCTAAGAATGCTCGCCACAGTTGTGTATGTTGTACAGCTAACTGAGATCCTTTTTCAGAGAACATTCGGGCTAGTAATGCTACAGCGCCCAATCTTTCAGTTTCAGAAGAAGACTTTAGTTTACATTCTAATTGTGGAAGGACGGACAATAAGACGCTTGGACATATGTGATTTAACTCGTAAATTAAATCATACACTTTCTTGCAAATTTGTAAACTTTTCTCCTCTTTACCCAAAATCAGTACATGATTAAAGAACTATAAATTTAAAAACATAATTCTATTATTTCTTCCTTTAATATAAAAATATTTAATTGCAATATTTAAATTTTAGTTTACTTACTGCTTGAATATATGGCTCTAATGTATCACTACATTTAATTACTAACTCCTTTGCGAGCAAATATGCATTCTTTTTCTGTGTTTTGTTTGGTTCTACGATATTCATAAGTATAATATCTAGAAGTTCATTACTAACAATATCTGACTCAGTAATAAGTGGACATAATACGTCTAACATAAAGCTTTTCACTTTTCCAGAATGTTCATCGCTGTAATTACAAAACAAATTATGTGCTTACTATTCCCTTGTGCATGGCATGCTTTTCCCTTTAAATATACTCACTTCACTATCCTAAACATAAGAGAAAAAAGAGCACAAAAAATTTCTTGACAGTCTTCTAATTCAAAGCACATATTAAAAGATTTCACGTACGCCAAGTTTTCCAATAGGTAAAAATATCTTTTGAAAGCAGGATCTTTAGGATCTTTTAAACCAGCTAATTGCTTGATTAAGAACAGGAATATTGTTTTAACCTATAATAACAAAGGATTAATTTAATTTAAATGTAAACTTATGTAGAATTTTATTAAAAAAATCATTACTGAGAGAGAGAGATTTGTTTGAATGCAATTAAATGTTTTTTTGTTTTACCTGTTCTGCATCTTTATAAGGAGCTTCAGGTGCATAAACTCTTAAAACATCGGCGATACAGCAAGCAATTAGGAGTTGTACATCTTTACTTTGATGCATTAAAAAATGTTCTTCTGCCAAATGTAATGCAAGTGGAATATATTGCTGATACATTCCTTCATCTTGTCCCATTGCTTGTAACGTATGAGCTAATGTCTATTTAATAAATTTTTATATAAGTCTTCATTGTGTATCCATGTTACCATATCATTTATTATAAATAATGCCATATTTTTATTCACAAATGTACCTTTAATCTCCTAATGAGTTCATCTGGACCTAGATCTTCTGTCACAGACCTACACCCTTGCGGGTAAACTATTTCCGACATAGTGTTTACTTAATGGTTCAACCAAATATGAGAAACTTTATGTCCTTAAAATAATCTAGAACACTGTCCAAATTCTGTAATATTATATAATTTATTAATTATTAGTTAATTATTAAAGTATTTAAAAAGAAGACAAGTCATTTTCATGGAAGAAGTAAAAACAAAACTTTTGCAAGAACTAGTCACGAAATAAATGAAATTGTACACTGAAAGCTGATATTTTATTCACAATAAGTTAGCGATTTTCACGATTGTACACTATTTTAGCTTCTGCATCAGCACAAACAGCAACTGCAAATTGTCACGTATAAACGGTAAATACAAATCATATAACGAAAATATGACTTAAATCAGTTCATTGAAGAAAAGAGCTACATGCTGATTCATTTTTATGGTTGTTGGGATCTATTAATTATATTCTACATTGAATAATAGTAAAACACGTCACGTAGGTTATGTACACTGATCAGGTATAACTACAGAAACGCGGCATAAACAATATTATAATTTCACACGTTTGGAAGCTTGAAATATTTCATAATGTACATTTGTATGAAATATCAGATATTAGATGTATTGAAAGGTGTATTACCTCAAGATATGCATAGGCACCACAAGGCCTGTGACACTCAGAATATCAATAAAGCAAATATATGTGATGGATACACGGCACTAGTTTAGTTTTGATGTTCACACACGATCACGATCTAATTATTACTAAGTGCGAATATATCGCTTTCGGCGTAACTTTCGGAATTTTTTGTGAATACTTGGCATGGTAAAACGATCAAAATGTCATCAAAAATGTAGCGAAACAGTTTTCGTAAACGGTTAAGCGTGTCAAAGGACGCAACAGCGCAATTCGATCACTTGAAGTCAGCTACATTTTACGATACCGGGAGACACTTCAGGCTTTAAGCGGTAAACGACAAACAATATGAAAACCGAGGGACAGTAACGGTAATTCAATTGGTTAGAGTGTATACATGAAAGTAATGAACCAATGATGCAATGATGTTTCACCGTGAAGTTAGAACACAATGTAATGGTGAATTCTAATTAAGACGATAAATTATGACTGACAAATGTTATGTTACATTACTGCTGATACTGAACACTTTGAACTGAATTTAAACGAACAGCTTTTCATTTTACGGAAACGTATTTCAATCTTTTAATATACCTTAGTAAGATAATGATACATATCGTACTACATATGCTCAAAATTACAAGAGTAATAATAAATGGATCATAACAGACTCTTAGTACACATGTATGAATGCATGCATATGCATACAAGTATACATAAATATTGCATAATAAAATTTCGTCTATGAACAATATCATAAGACAATTTCATACATGTGTATATAAATACAACATATATATGCAATGAGTTATATTATTTTAAGAAATTATTAAGATTAAGAAAATATTGGTACATAATATCAAAAAATACATGTGGGTTTATATACATATATACAAATGCATGTCCTTAAACAATATGATGTAAAAAATATGATGAAAACTGGAAGTTACACATGTATGCGTGTACACCTACAGTACGCTGCTAACTGTTAACCGGAAACCGCGTTCTTCTCTATCTTTTCTGTTTGGTACATGCAACGTGTGCATACACTGGTTCAGCGCTGGTCAGTTTAGTTATACAAAACTTGATCATCTCGACCAGGAAAAAGTTTAAACAATGGTAAGTCTTTATATCGAATGCCTTAATACCTCTCAGAAATTTTTTAAGAACATTTTTGTTGTAATTGCATGTTTTCTTGCAAATAATTCGTAACATGTTAGGTTAGTTACATTCTTTTAGCCACGCGGTTTCTAATTTGTGCCTTAAACACTGAATCATAAGCCTAATTTCTGTTTTAGCTATCAATTTAATATACATACGATTAAAAATCCATGATTTGATGTAACATAAGCGACTTCTTTCTTAATTGCATAAAAATGTTTTTATATATCACATTTTAGAGTAACTGTACTTAGCTGATACTTGTTCTTGACTTACTAGATTTTGTTTGTAAAAGCAGCAATGATATTAAATTACATTGGTTTATTTGTTTCACTGATATTTGTTGTGATTTGTAATATAATGAATATAATGTTATTTATAGGCAAGTACAAAAACTGAAAATCCTGAGAAGCCAGGACAGGAGGTAACTCCTATTCACAGAATTAGAATAACTCTTACCTCTAGAAATGTTCGTTCTCTTGAGAAAGGTGAGTTGTATTCTAGAAAATTAATATTATTTTATATCACACTCTAATAATGCATTATTTTAGTTTGCTCTGAATTGATCAATGGAGCAAATAAGCAGAAACTTAAAGTTAAGGGGCCAGTACGTATGCCCACAAAAATTCTGAGGATAACCACACGTAAAACACCGTGTGGAGAAGGTTCGAAGACTTGGGATCGTTTCCAGATGCGCATTCATAAAAGAGTTATTGACTTGTATTCACCATCAGAAATTGTAAAACAAATTACAAGCATTTCCATTGAACCTGGTGTTGAAGTGGAAGTCACAATTGCTAATGAATAAGACATTTGGAGAAAAGTGTATAAAGTTTTAATAAAAACTTGAAAATACTGAAATGATGTCATAGTTATTGTATATTAATGTTACATTATAGTACACCTTACAAATGTGTACCCAATATTACAAAACATAAAAAAAGATCCTTAATACAGTATAAAGAGTTTTTATCGTATAAAAAATTTTTTGTTGATAATAATTTAAATGATGTTTAGTATTTATTTTATCAAGTTGATAGAAAATTATTTATAAATTATAATACATCATTTTCTATTTTTATTTGAAATTTTCTGTGTCCAATAAGACATGACTCAGAAATAATTGTCATTTCATGAGAAAAGAATATATAAATCTTTTCTTAAGTTTATTCTTCTTCTTGAGAGTCATTTTCGGGTTTTTTATCATCTTCCGCATCTTCTTCGCCGCTAAAACCATCCATTCCTTCCACTTCTTCTTCGTTATCATCACCGGCTACTTCTGCGTTTTCAAGCTCAGCTCGTTCCATTTGTTTAGCCAATTCTGCTTCATCCGTTGCAGTAACAACTTTTGGCTATGGATTGACATATTTTATTTATAAATACCAATGTGTTGTTACTATATTTGTTTCTTAATAAGAAGTCTAGAATAATAAAACTTACAGCCATTTGAACGTTAAATACACCTCCAAGTGTTGTTATTTTACCCTGTATAGCATTAATAGCGTCATTCAATGCTTTTAAACCATCTTGCTTTTCTGGTGTAGATGTTGTCATTACTAAAGTATCATAAAAATATAAATTTTGTTAGTTTAATGATTTTAATATTCAAATAACCTGCTTAAAAAATACGTAAAAGAAAGAAATGTATACCATATAATGGTGGTGCAATTAAATTAATTTTTATTGGGAGTTCATCAGTAGAAAGGGCTAAGCCAGCTTTTAATGCAGTTTTAACTGCATCAATTCCTTCATAACCATAACAAGCTACTTCTACATCTGCTCTAATTTTAACTGCCTGAGAAGTCAATTTTCTCTTAATATTTTTGAGTAACACTTCCTTTGTGTGTTCATCAAGACCACATTCTGCTAAAATAGATGGATCCCTAAAGTAACAATGTTTTAATAATCGTTATTACATATATACTGCTATTAATATTTTCTATTTTTTTTAACTTACAGAACTGATTGTTTAAAGAAGTCATAAGCAGATGCCTTTTGCTTCTTATATTTTTCTTCAAAATGCCAAGCTGTTTTTTGATATAATTCTTCCAGTTGGTCATCACTGTCATATTGTAATAATTCTGCTACATGTCTTAAAATTGAATTAACAGCCTTTGCTTTCGCATACCTCTCTGTACATTTCTCTACATCTTCAGCTGATACACGACGTTTGCTAAGATCAATGTAACCTACATTTAAAGAATCATGTTATTTAGTTTAATTCTATTTTGGAAGTATATCTTATAGTACAGATTTGATTCTTTTACCTTTTTCTTTGTCAACTCGAATAACAACAACTGGTTCAGTTTTTCCTACCCTAATGAGTTTGTTAATGGATCTGATACGTCTTCTGGACAATTCAGACAGCAGAATCATACCTTCAATATTATTATACTCCAATAAGTGTACGTATGCTCCCATCTCAGCTATACTACGTACATTTACCATTACTACATCTTCCACTTCTGGATATTTTTCTTTGTAAAATCGACACGATAACACCATTTTTATTACTGAAAGATAAAATTCGACTATTACTGGTATATACTTTTACGTATAAAAATATTTGCTGCTTAAAAGTAACGAAAAGCATTAAAAAAGCAAGGAAGATATAGGTTAACTTCACGAAATCACTAAATTATATGATAATACTGTTTCCATAATTACCTGTATGAGTGAATCTGTACGAAGAAAGATTAACTCTTTATATATATACTACCAAAGAGTATTTAAAAAGTAAAAACGTGTTGAAATATGTCAATAATCCATGTGCAATCTTCACTTAAATTTCAGTCAGGTTATTAAGAGGGTTACACGGCAATGGTCGACATGCATACTGCACACTCGTTGACCGACATACACATATACACCAAATTTTGCTTGAAATGCGACATCTATCGTGATAAATAATTTCAAATTAATATTGAAACAAATGTAATGAAAAATTGTAATCGCTTTCGACATTAAAATATTTTAATGACTATATTGCAGAATATATTTTAATTTTTTCATTCATTATTTCTACTTAAATCAACTCCTATATGTATATAAGTATGTATGTGTATGGGCCATCACATGTACATACACCAATTTATATGTGCATATACATGCATTCCTTTTCTTATATTTGTTATCCAATTACCAATTACAATCATGCATATTTTTGCAGTGTATAGTAACGAAACTCCGGTGTTTTTGGTGATTAATTTTCAGTGCGCAAGCGTCCATAAATAGATCTCTTTTGAATTTGTGTCGCAAAAATGAAACTAATTTTACATTTATATTAAATATAAATTAACAATCCGTTTAATTAAAAAATTGATGTATATGTATATATTATTTGTTAGAATTTACGAACAAAATATATGCATATTATATATATCTTGATTTTTGAATGGTGACATTCTGCACTAATATTTGTTGTATATGCATATCTTGCTGTTTAACAGCCTTAATACCTACTCAAAAGACATGTTAAATTTGTATTAAACATTTAGTTAGACATACATAGACTTTCTTTGTAATATTCAGTTCATGATATTATGTATATTCCTTAAGCACTGTTTTCCTCTACATTAGATTTCAAATATTACCGCGCATTCCAGCGTTTCCAATTGTTCGCATTCGGACTTTTCTTGCTCTATCATCCAGAAAGCCAGTGCAAGAAATGAAGATATCAATTTACAGAAGCGGCAACACTGTCCATATGTAGGTTCAAAATTTCGGGGTCACGAACATCAAAGGTTCCGACAGAAGTTTCGTCACTGTAAGAATGCTCTGTGATTTTAACATGTATGCACAAGTTAAGTTCTTCAATACAACTATCTCCAATGACAATCGTTTTCGTGGATAATGTTCGATTACCAGGAACGACATGTTTCGATCAGGTTAGAAAATGATTATAATTTCGAACAAGTTATGTGTATGTCAAATTTCGGACGGATGTAAGAAACTAAAGCGTACACGCGATTTCGCGTTCTATCATTAATAAAAGTTGACAGAACAAAATATTAAAATCCAAATGCCTCTCATATCGAGAAATTGTCCTCACATCGCCAATCGCGGTGATCTCGCATTTATCGAGACCATTGTGTCTCAAAAGGATGGATTTGTAAAATGTAGTGAATGTAACACGGATGGGCCTAATTTATGGTTATGCTTGTTTCCTGACTGCCGTTGGGTCGGCTGTGCTGAAACGCACTTAGACCACAGTACTGTACACAACCAAAAATTTCCTACTCACTGTGCTCATATGAATCTTTCTACAAGCCGTATATGGTGTTATGCTTGCAAACAGGAAGTTATAACTACGCCGTGCGTATGCTTCCCTGCACAGTTGGATATTAAAACGCAGAGCAATAAGTTTTCTGGCGATGGTCCTGGTAATGTGGATTGTAAATCTGAAGATCTTAATAGACTCATATTGGACAAGTGAGTATGACTTTTACTTATAGCTTCTTTGATATGTCTATTACATATAAATTAATCTTTTCTATTTTATGAATGATAGATTTTATGGTGAACTTATGAACAGAGTTAGTTATGAAAAGGATGGTATGTTTCATGAAAAATCTGGTGACTCTCCTGATAGTACCGACTCAGATGAAAGTAAAGATTTCTCTGGAAAGCCAAGGGGGCTTGTTGGCCTTCAGAATATTGGAAATACATGCTATATGAATGCTGCATTACAAGCTTTATCAAATGTGTCTCCTTTGACACAATTTTTTCTGGATTGTGGTCACATGGTTAGCTATATGTCCAAAGATAGAAAACCTGGTTTAAGTTTAAGCTATCTGAACCTTATTCGTGACATGTGGAATAGGAAAACAAGAGGGTATGTTGTACCACATGGAATATTGTCTGGTATTCGTACAGTTCATCCAATGTTTCGAGGATATCATCAGCATGATACTCAAGAATTTTTGAGGTGTTTTATGGATCAGTTACATGAAGAGTTAAAAGAACAAATTGAAGATGATCGTGATAATATATTAAGATTAAAGGGGCTTGGAGAACAGTCATCGGATGAAGATGAAACTGAAATTGATGGAACTGGTTCTAGCCAGTCCGATGCTGAATATGAAACATGTGATTCTGGAGTAAGTGAACAGAGTTCGCTTAGCGACGAAGGTGAACGTGGTACAAAAAGAAGGTATTCTCGAGTGTCTCAGTCAGAAAAATTGAGAAGTAAATTTACAAACAGAAGTATCAAAAAATCGACAGTAGATCAGCCTTTTGCTCCACCTCAGAGATCAACACAAAACTCGCCTGTTAAATACAGGACGAAAAAGCAAATGAAAACTCGAAGTATCATTAGCGATATATTCGATGGAAAACTATTAAGTAGTGTACAATGTTTAACATGTGATAGGATTTCAAGAAGAGTAGAAACGTTCCAAGATTTATCATTACCCATTCCAAGTCGAGATCATATTGATATGTTGCATCAAGGGTCTCTCACTCCACAAAAGGCAGGGCCATGCTCAGATGTTGTTTATGTGACCAATCAATCTGGTTGGTTGTCTTGGTTTTTGCAATGGATGCGTTCTTGGTTCTGGGGTCCAGTTGTCAGTCTCCATGATTGTCTCTCTGCATTTTTTAGTGCAGACGAACTTAAAGGTGATAACATGTACAGTTGTGAAAAATGTAACAAGCTACGTAATGGAATTAAATTCTCCAAAGTCCTAGAACTGCCTGAAATATTATGTGTCCATTTAAAGAGATTTCGTCATGAATTAATGTTTAGTTCGAAAATAGCAAATTACGTTTCATTTCCATTGGAAGGATTAGATATGCGACCATACTTACACAAAGAATGTGTGTCTAAAGTAACTATGTACGAATTAATATCAGTTATCTGCCATCATGGAACTGCTGGTGGTGGTCATTACACATGCTACGCGTTAAATCCTATTGTTAATAAATGGTTCGAGTTTGATGACCAATGCGTTACTGAAGTCTCACCCGAAACTGTGAAGCATTGCGAGGCTTATGTGTTATTTTATAAAAAATGGTCACCAGAGATGTTGCAATTACGCGACAGAACCTTGGAATTGATGGAAATTTCGTCTCGAGAGTTATCCGATTTAAGTTTCTTTGTATCTCGACAATGGATAAATCGTTTTAATACATTTTCGGAACCAGGACCTATTGATAACTCCGACTTTCTTTGTCCGCACGGTGGAGTTAATCCTGTTAGAGCACAATTTGTAGATAAGCTCAGTATGCCCATTCCACAAGCAGTTTGGGAATATTTATACAAAACGTAAGAGAACATTTGAAATATTTAACTATTTTCTTCTATTTTATTCTTATTTTAGTAGCGCTATATTGTTAAATAATGATGGTATTGGCCATATTACAGATTTGGAGGTGGTCCCGCATGTACGCATTTATATGAATGTCCAATCTGTGAGGAAAAATATGAATCATTACAAAAACGGAGAATTTATGAAATGGAAGTATTTCAACGACTAACACACAATACTGACAATCCAACTGCTATTTATGGACTAGCTATGGCATGGTTAAGGCAATGGCAAAGTTTTGTACGGGGTAAAGAAACACAGCCACCCGGTCCTATTGATAATAATTCTATTATAATAAACAAAAATGGTCAAAATGTTCTTAAAGTGGGTAAGTTTCCAATCGAAAAAGATTGATTTCAATATGATTATACTATCCAACATGTATTTTGTATTTCACTAAAGTCTTCTTCAAAAAATTAAGATTTGTTGGATAGTGTTACATGTTACGCGAGTTAATAGATTTTACCATAAAAAACGTTTGTAGGTTCAGATTATGGACAAATATCGGAAGAACTTTGGCAATTCTTTTTGTCAACATACGATGGAGGACCTGAATTAATGTTGCATGCATGTCAAAGACCTGTCTCTGCTCAATCTACTGTTTCGTCACATTCCACTTCAAATTCAAATTTAGATCAGAATTTTAAAACCAGTCGTACGGAGGCTAAGACCAATAAACTGTGCATGACTAGGAGTTCTGAAACAATATCACAGCAAGACAGTGCTATTGAAAGTTTAACTTCAGATAGTGATTCTCATCAAACACAAAGGGATGTTAGTGAGTAAAGTCATTGCTTTGACGTCCCCTAAGCTGTGTACACAAATTAACATTTCTACATGAACGGTAAAGTTACAGTTACATTAAAAAGAAATTGTTAACTGTCATGTTTTAGCTGTGTTACAGATTGTCACTAACTTTGTAAAGCTGATATATCTCCTTCGATAAAATCACTTGCACTGTACTGCTACTGTACAATGAGTAGAGTATTTGTACAATGTTACGGAACATTGTACAAAAAAATTGAAGTAATTCCTGTGTATCTTGTAACATTCACTTGGTGTGTTTTTGTTTGTCACTATGTGCAGTTTTACTGTAAATTTGTGGGTATTATGTGTATTTTGTGGGCAATTAGTTAGTACAAAATTTGTTAAGAACTGTATTATTTAAAGACAAAATATTTAATTGTATCGTTAGTCCGAAGTTGGGTATATATTGTCATTGCTGACATTGCTATAAAATTTAATATTTTTCGTCGTTATATATTTATTACAATGTTTGTATGTCATTCCTGCATATACAAAATGTAAAACTCTGTCCGAAATTACATCTTTTTCCGACGTAAGTGTGTTTATTTGGAACAAAAACATATACATATGTGTAAGTGGAAGACTGAAAATTAAATCGACTTAATTTAGTGAAAAGTTTTAGTTCGTGCTGATACAACGTACTGTGTATGATTAAAACCGTAACAGAACATTATAAGAACGTTAGTAATACGCGTAAGCTTTGCAATTTAGGAATCTCTGATAGAAACTTCAAAACG